CAGTCTTACATGTCTGGATTCAAGGACTGAAGTTGGTTTGTTGTTCGTTTATGTAAATTGTAAACTTACTTCACACCGGGAGAGCAAAAAAAGGTAGACGATATTTTTAGAATCCTATTTTTTTTTCAATTAAGTTTAGACAAGTTTTTAATGTAATTATAATTAAATACTTAAAATACTGAATAAAGAATTTGGATAAATTGCATATTATATATCATACTTCATACTAATATTATAAATATGAATGTTTGTTTGAAGGTAACTCCAGAACGACTGAACGGATCTCGATGATTTTTGGCATATACATAGAACATCTGGAAGAAGACATAGGCTACTAATTATATTTTTTTAATACCGCGCGGATGGAGACGCGGGCGACAACTAGTGGGTTTTATTCTTTGCAAAGTTAATTTGCATGTGGCTAACGCGCGGAGGAGCGCGGCCTCCTGCACTGATAAGATAACCTTGCCTTACAATTTATTCGACGCGATTACAGCGAGTCGAGAACACTAAATCGTTATAATACTGTTTGTTAAGCCTCTGCTAAATATTGCATAGGGATATTTATTTTAATAAAAAAAAAAAAAACATAATGATAGCAGATACGTAATTATAGAGTGTAATAATGTAAAGGATGACATTATGTTCATATAAGAGTTACTGTACTTTAATCGTAGGTTCACAATTTTTACTATAGATTTCGTAAAAACTTAAACTTAATGATTTTATCCTATACCTATGACTATGACTTGAAGAGTTAAGTTTAGACGTGAAATTGTTTACTGTCATGAGAAATGTTATTTATGTTAGAAGGAATTTGCAGTCGAAACTTATTTGTGCGCAATATGTAAATACCTATAATTTTTTGCGGATGTATGGCTAATGTAGATGACGAAAAGAAAATCATATTCGGAAGGATGCTTGCATTTACAAAACATCGGAAAATTGTGGCAATAACATCAGTGACCTTAATTAGATTCGTTGACTCTGCTCTTGTTTACTTTCATTATTTTGTAAAAAACTGACGTTGTTTATACCTAATTTTGTATTTATGCATTTTCTCAAAATGTAATACTCAAAATATTTATTAAAATACTTAAAAAGGTTTCATTAATGTTTGCCTAAACAACCAACTTTTTTAAACAACTTATATTTACAGACGTCTCTACCTCTTGCTCAAAAGCGTCTTCTGTAGAGTTAGTAGAGGTTCGCTTCTGTTTGTCTCCGCTGAAAGACAGCCTCCTCTTGAATAGCTTGATCATTTTCCTGAGCAAATGACACCTTTCCTTGTCACACGGAGTACACTCATTACAACTCACGACGCGGAACTGTATAAACTTTGATAAGAGACGCCGCGTCTCTACATATCAACAAATTTTCTTTGATAATTCAAAGAGAATTGTTATTGAGAATTTGGAATCGATTAGATGAGATGATATAAAAATAGCACCTACGGAGTTATCAGTTATCGAATTGTCGCGCACGTGCGGTGGCAAGGTAGAGTAACGATAGCGTCACGGTAGCGTATGGGCACACGGCTACCCAGACTATAGCGGTGTGCGGTCGGATCGCGCGCCCGCCGCGCACTGCCCGCTGCCTGTCGAGCTACGAAACGCCGCGCTCGCGCCAGCGCCTCAGACCTCACCTTCACACCACGATCCATGACCACACCACACAACTCCCCGCGCCCGCACCTCGCCCCTTAGTATTATTATACATCAATCAAAACCGCCACATCCATTACATCCCTTTGTAAAAGACTTCACCGCTGTATTATGTCTTTTATAAAATTCCCCACTATGACACATTTATACGTGAACTCTAGAAATATTTGTAACTTTCCTGATAAATAGTTCAAATAAGTTATCGTCGAGCGGCGAATTGGTAGCGATAAGCAATTAGAACTATTTCGACATCTGTGCAATGAGCTTTTCATTAACATACTCAAATGATCTCTACCTCTGTTTGCGTGACCCATCTTAACGGAATCTAACACCGGATACTACGTAGATTAAAGTTCATGGAATTGATATGCGATATAATCGCAACACAAAGCATAATCCAGTCAAAAGTCACACGTTTTCAGATTGCGTTAATTAACTGTTTGTATAATATACTTTCTTATATCTATGTTTTAGTTAATACGGGCATCAATTACGTATTACGAGAGAAGCAGAGAAGGGAGCAGAACTTCCGTAGTCGCCATAAACATTGCTCTAAATCCGGACGCTCGCCATGAGACCTATGCATTTGACAGATGTCAATTACATGTAATAGAATGCGGAGCGGGAGACACTAATGTAACTAGAATCAACAAACACGTTTGTTTATCAACACGTTTACGTGCGAACGTGATCAAAACATTTAATTTATTATACAAGCAATAAAAACCAGACATGTGACTTGTTTAGAACGAAGAATTATGATACACCATTGATAATTACATAAGTAAACAAAAAAATGCTAAAAAAAGACTATCTCAAATTGTAACTATCAAACGATTAAAGTATGAGTTGTTTAAAGTTTCTTTAAAATTTTTATACTAAAAGATAAAAAGTAATTGCATAAAACAAAGTATTCTATGAATGCATTGGTCAGCAACATACAATTTTCATTTGTACAAATGTGTTTTGACATTCGCGAGACCTTCGTAAATGTGGGCAATAAAGTATAATTGATGGAGACTTTGAAAATGCGGGTTGAGTCAGCAATTTGTTTCAATAAGGGGTTAAGTTAACAGAGCGATTTATATTTAGAGCATTTCAAGGCAGAGGTTCTGAGGTCAAAGAAATCTGAAACATGAAAAAAATAGCTTCCAAAAGCAAATCAAACTTTTGACATGACTGCTAGTTGAGACTGTTTTTATATAAGCTTTCTATCGTAATGACCTATTCCATATTAAAAATCTCATCGCGCTCCTAGATTTGTTAGATTTTGAGGATTGCAGTATCAATTGCATAATGCCTTTTATTACACATTATGCCGTTGGTTAAGAATCATCTATTGTGCATCTCTTAAGTTCTTCTTACATGAGATCACACTTTTGAAGCATTTAATAGGATAATTCCTATTTAATTCTGTACTGCCATCATTACAGTACAATAGTGAACACGTAATTTAAACCTTTGTTAAATGTTTATATAATGAACAGGAAATAGGATTGGGTTTGGTATGTGGCGTGTGGTGTGTGGCGATGCAGTGTTAGTGTGAACCCGACACCGTTTGTGTACCGCTTAGCACATACTAGAATCCTTACGGCTAGTTTACTTTCCCTAGAGCAAGTCAAACTCCGCCAGGATTTGGGGAATTTGTACAGTGTACATGCCACCTACGCGAAGTGTTGATCAAATGAATACGTTTGGGTTTTGTGTTTCTTTGTCGTAGTTTTTTTTAGTAAAACTTCAATTCTTTGTTAAGAAACATATATAATAGAAATTTACATCGTATTAAAAAGTGGAAAATTCAATATAACCAAATATTTTAAGTTACTATAAAGTACAAAGTCAAAACATTAATCTATACGATTATCTGTTAATCGATAGCCGATAGATAATTACGCGTTAGTTATTATGACATAAAGATAAGTAAAGTACTATTAATAGTTTGATTGTTGTTGCGCTAAAAATTAATAACAAGATAAAACAATTTATATCGATTTTACCAACTAAACTACGAGGATTTCATTCATACAAGAAAGTTCACAAAAACCATAACCCTGCAATTTAGAACTCGATATTAAATGAAGAAAAAAAATATCATATTTACTTTAAATAGAAAATATAAAATTAGGCTTGTATGCATGTGCCGGTTAGTTGAGTTCGAAATACGGATCTAAGATTAAAACAAGAGCGAGAAAATTGAAGCGGACAGAGTTTGCCTGTTACTACACTACAACTAAGGTTGCCCCATTCACTAAACTTTGACCCGAAAACTAGCGGGCGTCAAAAGCTATCGGTGACTTGTCAACCCTTGACCCTAAAAAAACGTCCTGTACAGACTTTCGCACAAACCGTTTTAATGCAATACATTAAAATTGCACCCTTAACACGAACATGTATTCAATAAACTTACAGAGGTGGCAGCCCTAGCTGCAACCTACAACCTGTCCTCCGACCCTGCTTTCCGTTTTCCGCCATTATCGTTAATGTAATGGGATGTAATAACGATAATTTCAGGCACCGATACATACCTTTATATCGACATTATTTTGAATCTAGCACCCGACGATCTCTCTAAACCAAATATGAAAAGGTTAATGATGGAAAGATATCGATGGTGCCACTGAAAATTCCGATAAAATACTGCTTAGCGAAAAGAGACGTAGGAGAGATGAGAAACCTTACACTGACGTAAAATCTCTTCACTATTGAATTCTTACTAATTCTTACTAACATTGTAAATGCGAATGTATAGATGGATGGATGTTTGTTTGAAGGTATCTCTAAAACGGCATGAATCTCGCTGAAATTTGGCATAGATGTAGAACATAGTCTGAAAGAATACATAGGCTACTAATTATTCCGATTAGCTAGTCGTTTACAATACAAAACAGTTACATATATGTTTATAATTTTAAAACTAGCTTTTGCGACGGTATTACATCACTTTACCCTATTGACCTGTTTGATATCTTAAAATAATATTGTATTTTTCCTTATTCGTTGATACAACAAATATAAAAAAATTCTACCATCGTATTATCTTTTAACAGCTACAGTACATTTAAACATATATACCTGCTTTCTTAATTTCTGATGTCCAAATATTACTCGTTCTTATTTTACATTGAACTTGCATACAGCATACTTGCATGTAGTTAGTCTTAATATTCTAAAACAACATTGGAAGTTCCTACTTTATTAAAATAAGTGCACGTAGATATATGTTTCAATTGGCGTGAGGTTCACTGAATGTAATTACGGACGCATAGGAATGCTTACTGGCTCAGATAAAAGATATTATCTGCGGCTTTTAAATTGCTCGCAAGACAAATTACTTACAGTATTAGGTAGCTGTGCTACCAGCTGTGATTTGGGGTTGGTTGACAGCTCAATAGCATCCGACACCTGAAACAAACATACCTCGTACTGTAAGTAGGTCGATATCTCCCTGCGGACCACGTCGGGATAACTAGACTTCGTTTGGACCGGCCTCTTCAAATTTGATTATTATATCTTTGAAATACTGTCCATTTGCAATGGTAGTTTTCAAAGTTTAGTTCAATTTTGAAATAATTTCTTATCAATATTAAAAACTAAATATTTTCAGAGGTTAGAAAGTTTCATGAAATACATATTTTTGAATGATGTTAAGTAATAATGTACATATAAAGGGTGTGAGGTGTTTTCTATAAACTTTTTTTTTTAACTTTTTAAAAAAATTATTTGCCTTTCTATAGATTGTTTCTTGTTACTAGTTATGTATTATATGTATATGACGAACAAAGTACACCTTGGGGTACAATACTAATTTAAGAACGACCTGGCCACGCCGTAAACTCAAACGACCCAATCAGCAATATGTCCAGATAAATTTTTGTGAAAGCAAATTGTTCATGTAATAAGCCTGTCTGCACCTAAGCATCGCCACTACACAACTTTATGGCGAATTTTACGATGTTTTGCCACTTATCTTTGCTCGTATATATCTTTTAGGGTTACAGGGCAACTGGTGTTTCATTTTGGAATGTCATCATAAAAACGTAGGAAAAAAATTAAATAAAATCGAATTTTGAAAACCAGTCATAATGGCCTGATTGTTGTCTTCTACGTTTTTTTTTCATTGCATTTCATAATATAGCTTTTAAAATAACAAATAATTTTTACAATTCTTTATCATAGACCACCAAAAGTAAAGAATATGAGTCTACACAAATAGTTTAAAGATAACGAATTGTAGTTTAACTGCCGTACAAAGTCGATTATAAAAACATTTATGTCTGTCAACTAGCACGTAACAAATTAAACAATGTAATAAATCTTTTTAGCGCGAAAAAGGTCCGTTCACACGGGTGAAACAAATAAAACTAAATGACAATGGTACGTGATGTTTCTAGCCAGTGTGAGAATTGTAGAATCAATCTCAATTCGTATGCCTCCTTAAACGCAACATCTCACGATTTGTACGGACCAGACCATTAATTAAATCTGTCCAACGCCAAATAAACAAAGGAAAAAAAAACAAAGGTAAAGCTTTTAATGCAGCGTAGGTACAAATATAAGACTTTGATGGATATCATGTTAATGGCAACTAATTATTAAGCTAGTCACAGACGGACAGTGTTATATGAGCGTTTAGATTACTATTTAAGCCATAGATTATAGATATATACTCATTTTCATGTAAACTTTAATTGCCACCGATATTTTTTCGCCATGTGAGTTTATTACAGTGGTAGAGGCAAAAATCGTATTGATTCGTCATAGAAAAATGTCACCTTTTCTGCTTTTCTTGATTACATTATTGACCGTATTTAGTTGCCTCTCTACCAACATTAATTATAAAAAAAACTTGAAAAATGATAATAAAGAATAACCATCAAATGTAGAGTGCTAGACCAAATAATTATGTAGTTAATCTGATCAACCTACATATTACAATTCAAGGCAATTTTAATAATATAAATACTACAATTATTCTAGACACAACATTAGTAATAGTTTAAAGTGTCCTTTTTAGTCTAACTCATGCTTGCATTGTAATAAAGGAGGGTAGATAAAGGGCCATAAACTATCTAGTAATGGTCAAAGTTGCAAACTTCCCACCACTTCTAGTTCGTTAAGTCTCTACATTCCCTGACTTGATTGTTAGAAATTATTCTTTAGAATATAAATTTTAAAATAACATTTGAAATTGTAAAACAAGAAATATATAAAACTTTGTATACTGATTTATTAAAGATTGGTTATAATACAAAAAATATAAAAAAACCCAAAGACGTATGGCTAAAAGTTGCGACGTAATTATTTATATTTGCTATGTTCAATTAATTCACATAAATTATTTATTGTTTTTATTTCATTTTTATTAATTTCTTTTTGTATTGGCAACATTTAAATTAGTATAAACTTTTTCCTATGCTGGCAACAATGATTCGTTGGACATAAGTGTGCTACCATAACGCACGCTATTTTTCTTATATTTATTATCTAAGTAACTATTCAATAAATAGTTAATAAACAATAACCACTTGTTTAATTATACGTGCTTAAATGGGCTTTTTATTGTCCTTAATACATTCAAGTAGAAACAGCCATGTAAAATGCAGCTAAGTTTATTTTTATAAGTTTAAGCTCTACATCACAACTTCCCACTTTTATATGGTCTTGCTAGTTTACTCACAAATGTGATGTTAATAATAGTACGTCGTATTACTGTAACTAGCCGTAGATAGTTGATGGCAGTCATTTTGCGAGACAACGGAACAATGTCTGTCCATTAAGGTCATTAGTATGATACTCACAATTCCTGCAATTACCATCTCACCGCAGCAAGCAAGATGAAAGCTTACATCTCGGATTCCGTACGATAATCAATTTCTAACAATCAGTCATGGTACTCCGGCAACGTTATTAAAAACTTTTTTATTACTTAAGTAAGAAATTACGTAACAAAAACTTAAATGTTTTAGTGTCTTTTTATCCGTCCAGTTGTAAATAGTTAATAGGACTAACTGCCAAAATTATAATATTTTTGTTAGAATTTGAGTGAGAAATATTTATAATTCCTAGCAGTTTTCTCCATTCCATAGGTAATAAGCATTATTTTTGATTTTTTTTTTACTACCTGCCTAAATCTAGCTTAGGTCATCAGTTAGCTATACTATGGCACTAAGAAAATCATTATTGAATTCAATATTTTTTTTTCATTATAATTGAAGTTAATTAAAAAAAGAAGTGCGCATGTTATTAGTCTTGTTATGAAATATCGTTCTTGGAAGACGTGAACCGTTTTAATTTCGGCGAATTTGAGAAGGGAATTTCTGTGAATCGTGCCATATCAGCGATAGCACTGCCACTGTAGGTTTTACCACTGGAATTTTAAAAACATTTCGACTCACCATTTGAAAATTTAAAGTGAATATCGTAGGACTTGTTGAAAAATGTTTTAGATTTCTGTATTACATGTTTAGAAATAACGTTGAATGGAAAAGTGTGGCAGCAACTTAATTAAAAAACGTACACTCAGGTGGTTTTATCTTTAATTACATTAAAAAGAATGTAAGAAAAAAATTATGTCGAAAAATTTGTATGTTATAGAGTTGGTTAAAGATTATTTTTTTTTGTATGTTTATATATGTGTCCCTGTATGTTTCATGCTTGAGTATTTTTTTATTTAAGGAACTCGAAATACCAACAGAACATACAAAGACATCAGTGGGATGGTCTCACGTACCGCAATGCTGCAGACATTCAGACCGGACCACTCCCTGTGGCGTCGAGAGAGTATAACACCCAATTTATGTTTTTCGACCTTCCGTACTCCATTCAACCAGTTGTATTACTAAATATACGTAGCAAGGACTGCCGACTATGTTAAAAGAAAATGAATAATCGTTAAATCCATTTCAATATACCTATTTGGATTTTGTAATACAATTTATGTTTCGCTATATTCTAGAGCATAAAATATCTTTAAACATATGTCAAATTATTAATTAATTAAGTACTTAATCAATTAATAATTAATTAATTAAGATAATATAATTGTATTTTTAAGACTTTAAGCGGAACTGTATACTTTCATTTCATGAAAGATGAAAAGAAGATAAAAGTTAAGACATTGAAGTATGGTCGGACCTTTGCGAATATTTGCGATCAATCATTGAAAAGTGGCAAGAATAAAAGATATTCAAAATTTATGGCATCTTTAAAGTTCTCTATATAATACATACCAATACCCTTAATATTGTGGAAATATTACGTAATCGCGACCCAATTACAGAACATGAAATAAACTGAATATATAATTATCATGACATCATCAGCTCACTATACGTCCCCACCGAGGGGCTCGGAGCCTACCCTAAGTTAAGGGTGATTAGGCCATAGCCAACCACGCTGGCCAAGTGCGGGTTGGTTCACTTCACACATATCTTTTGAATTTCTTTTAAGGTATGTGCAGGTTCCATCACGATGTTTTCCTTCATCGTAAGAACGTCGGATAAATGTACATATGTTAATCGGAAATCGAAAAACACATTGGTACATGGCGGGATTCGAACCCAGAACCTGCAGATTGCAAGTCAAGTGCTTGACCCCTGAGCCACCGACGCTCTTAAAAATTATAATTACTTTGAACATTTTTAGTTACACAAAAACAAATGAGGTATAAAGCGTGAGAAACCATCTTATGTTCTTTAATATGCACAAATTGTTATTTACGTGTAAAGCTATTAAAACTACATTAGATTTGAAATGACTTCCGTGTCTCGTTATATAGTTAAAGTTAATTTTTGTACGGAAACCAAAGAGATTAAATTATAACTTAAATGTCTTTGATTGAAACATAGAAATATAGATGCGAGTGGGAAATTAAATTTAAATAATATTTTTTTTAAACTGCTATTTACAGAAATGAAAGTTAATTTATATGATGTTGGCCTAATTTTTTCCATTCTGTCAGACCCGACTTCAATCGCGGCGGTACGATTATGCCAGCTCGTTTATTAAAAGGAAGGGCACTACGGGATTGTCATGTCGTGACAAAAATCCCAAAAAAAAAAGATTAAAAATATATATATTTTTAAAGTATTAGATTAAAAAAATAATCGCTATTAGCTTTCCCTTTTAATATTCATAAACTGTAATGTTTCTAGATTAATTTAATTATTTTTCCTGGAACGTTGCTAAAGTGTGCTGGAGTAACTTTGCTATTTTTTTATTCTGCACTAACGAAGTCGCTGGCAATCTTTAGTTAACAATAACATATAAATGAAAACTATATACGATTTAGATATTGTATGAAAAGCAATACCATTTAGTTCCGGTCTCGTGCAGATGTTTAAATTAAGTAGAATTTCAAGCGCCGACATCGCAACGCTGCAAACAAAACATCGTGTCCGTTT